ATGACAAGGATAAACAGGGCTAAGAACAAAACACGGGAAAACAAGACCAGGATAACGCGTTGTAATGTCACCTTACAGATAAACAAGACTCGGCCATGTGAATGAGTGTGTGTGCAGCTTAAATACTGTGTGTAATCAGTCTCTGAAAGTCCTCAGGTGTGAATGTAAATCAAGCTAAATGAGAAAGCAGGTGTGTGGGCGAAGAGCATGTATGAAGTTGTAGTCCAGGAAAAGTGTAGTTCTAAGTGTGTGTGTGTGTGTGTGTGTGTGTGTTTACCAGCGACATCTGGTGGTTGTTTGCTGGTAAACATGACACACCATCTCTCCCATCTCCCACCCTCCCTATTTTCTGAGGCCTTCAATAAGTATGTAACGGTCAATCAAGACACTGATAAATAAATAATAAGCCAACTGAAAAAATTATAAATAAAATAAATAAAAATAAATAAATTAATATATGGGTTAATACAGAGGATGAAAATGTAAAATAAAAACTAAAAGTCTCTCTTTCTCCCTTTCAAAATTCTAGTCAGCAGTTCCTGAAATGTTAAGGTTCTCAATGACTGACATGCGACTCCATGTTTTGTTGAAGGAGTTCAGTGATCCTTTAAAACAATGTCTCAGTTTCTCAAGATAGATGCAATTAAGAACCTCTTTAATCCAGTGTTCTGATAATGGAGGGGACACATATTTTCATTTGAGGAGAATTGCACGCCTGGCGAGCAATGTGGTAAAGGCAATGGCGCGGCGTGATGTTTGTGTAGTTGGGGTTGGAAGATAACCAAAAAGAGCAGTCAGAGGTTAAAAGGGTTTTTGAATCAATTGCTTAATTGATTCAATTTAGAGAATTATAAATAGCAGACTCACTACTGGTGTTTTTCCACACAGTTTTAAACATGCAGTAGTTGAACCATTAATCAAAAAGGCAAATTTGGACAGTTCAGTTCTTGCCAATTTTAGACCCATATCAAAACTCCCATTCCTTTCTAAAGTTTTAGAAAAGGTTGTATTTATACAACTGTAATCATACTTAGACCTATGGATTTGAAGAAGTGTTCCAGTCTGGTTTGAGATCTTGCCATAGCACTGAAACAGCACTTGTAAAAGTTTTTAATGACTTGTTGCTAGCCACTGACACGAAAGATAGTGCTGTTCTTTGCTTTTAGATCTTACAGCTGCTTTTAATACAGTTAACCATTAGATATTAGTTTCTCATTTGAGCTCTGTGTTGGTATTAAGGGTATTGCCTTGGAATGTTTTCATTCAGTTTTATCTGACAGAAGCTTCTCTGTTCGCATAGGGGAGTTTGTGTCCATGCCAGCACCTCTGTCATGTGAAGTACCTCGAAGTACCATTCTTGGACCTATTTTGTTTTCCTTATATCTGCTTCCATTAAGGGTCTATTTGTAGAAAGTATGGGATTTTATTTCATCTTTACATCTGGTGGTTGTTCGCTGGTAAACATGACAGAGCCCCCCCTCTAAGGAGTGGCTTCCAGACACTCCTAATACTGTTCAGGTGGGAGATGGAGCGGAGGTGGAACAGGGGGAGGGATGGAGGGCCAGGACCATGCAGCAGGGGCGTAAATGGAGCGTGGATCTGCGGAGGGCCTGGAGCGTGGAGCTGCGGAGGGCCTGGAGCGTGGAACTGCGGAGGGCCTGGAGCGTGGAGCTGCGGAGGGCCTGGAGCGTGGAGCTGCGGAGGGCCTGGAGCGTGGAGCTGCGGAGGGCCTGGAGCGTGGAGCTGCGGAGGGCCTGGATCATGAGGCTGCGACCATTGGGGAAGCTTAGGTGGCAGCGGCCATTCAGGAAGTTCAGGCGGCGGCCATTCAGGGAGCTCAGGCGGCAGCGGCCATTCAGGAAGCTCAGGAGGCGGCCATTCAGGAAGCTCAGGAGGCGGCCATTCAGGAAGCTCAGGAGGCGGCCATTCAGGAAGTTCAGGCGGCGGCGGCCATTCAGGGAGCTCAGGCGGCGGCCATTCAGGGAGCTCAGGCGGCGGCGGCCATTCTGGAGGGTCAGGTGGCGGTGGCTCTGGCAGCAGCGGCACTGGAGGGTCTGGCAGCACTGGAGGGTCTGGCAGCTCTGGAGGGTCTGGCAGCTCTGGAGGGTCTGGCAGCTCTGGAGGGTCTGGCAGCTCTGGAGGGTCTGGCAGCACTGGAGGGTCTGGCAGCACTGGAGGGTCTGGCAGCACTGGAGGGTCTGGCAGCACTGGAGGGTCTGGCAGCACTGGAGGGTCTGGCAGCACTGGAGGGTCTGGCAGCACTGGAGGGTCTGGCAGCTCTGGAGGGTCTGGCAGCTCTGGAGGGTGTGGCAGCGCTGGCAGCTCTGGTGGTGGCATCAGCTCTTGTAACTCAGGTGGTGGTGGCCATTCTGGTGGCTCAGGTGATGGTATTTCAGGAACTGAAACAGGAACTATGGCAGGAACGGACAAGGAACAGGAAACCATCTTGTGAGCAGGTGGCAGATTGGCGCTTACCACATTGTGAGCTGGAGGGCTGGTTGTGACCACATTGGGAGCTGGAGGACTGGAGTCGGTCATCTTGTGAGCTGGAGGACTGGAGTCGGCCATCTTGTGAGCTGGAGGACTGGAGTCGGCCATCTTGTGAGCTGGAGGACTGGAGTCGGCCATCTTGTGAGCTGGAGGACTGGAGTCGGCCATCTTGTGAGCTGGAGGACTGGAGGTGGCCATCTTGTGAGCTGGAGGACTTGAGGTGGCCATCTTGTGAGCTGGAGGACTGGAGTCGGCCATCTTATGATATAACTGATGCTCAGGCGACAGGAGTGATGGTGATGCCAGCATTAATGTTTCAGTGGGGTGTACAGCAAGCCCTTTTGTCATCTGGTCTTGCTGTACACTGCCCCCCCAAAAAAAACATTTAGGAGTTTCCTCCACCTCGCCTATGGTGAAGGGGGACCCACTAAGTTGTAGAGCCAGATCAATGTACAACTCAAGTGTCCAATGGGGGTCATGCAGTGGCATTGTGGAGTACAGAGGTTCAGATAATCCTCCACGAAAAAATATTGTTACGTGCCGGCTCAAGCACGCAACAAAATGAAGGGAACCCAAACCAAGTTGAATATAATAATGCAAAAAGATATTTATTTAAAGGTTACAAAAAGACAAAAATGATAAAATAAAATAATTTGCAAAAAGGGGTATCAAAGTAAACAAATTAATTGTCTAACATAACAATATTCAATACAACAAATTATATAGGAGCAAAGTTCAAATAAACAAAATTAATATAAGCGGTGGGTAAGGCAAAGGAAGTCAAACGAAAAAATGGTCCTCCAAAGCAGTCTCTCCAACACAGTTTGGAAGCTCCTTTTATAAAGCCTGAAGATAAGCCACACCTGCTGCATCATAACGAGTCACCTGTTAAGAAACAGAAAGCAAAACCCAGGAAACAGAACGAACCAATCACAAACCCATAACACCTCCCCCTCAAAAGAAAGAGATTATAATAATCTCTGTCCTTAACTTTATAAATCTCCAAATAAATTAAAACAAAAACAAAATGAAAATGAAACTTTCCTTTTTCTTAGAAAACTGTTGAGCAATCACCAGCAATCTCCCAATATCTGGAGGCAGCAATTTAAGGGAAAGCCACACATCCTAGAACTAAAAAAAAAAAAGAAACATTTAAACCACTAGCCATAAGGGGCTCTAGACAAGGTGTCAGCCAACACATTGTCTACGCCCTTTATGTGACGAATATCCAGAGCAAATGGTTGTAAAAAGAGAGACCATCGAATCAGACGCTGATTTGGATTTTGTAGAGAATGCAAGAAGGTAAGGGGATTATGATCGGTATATATCACAATTGGGGTGATACCAGAAGTCAGATAAACCTCAAAATGTTGAAGTGCCCAAATCAATGCTAAAGCTTCCTTCTCGATAATTGAATAATTTAGTTGGTACGAGTTAAACTTTCGTGAAAAATAGCTAATAGGTCGATCGATACCATTTTCATCAGCCTGTAACAAAACTGCACCAGCCCCGATGTGGCTTGCATCCACCTGAAGTTTAAATGGATCAGCCAGTCGTGGAGCTGCCAAAACAGGAGATGAAGTTAGCATTCTCTTTACGTTTTCAAACGCATCTTCACACTTTTTTGTCCAATCAAATTTTACTTTTGACTTAAGCAAATCTGTGAGGGGAGCCACCACAGAAGAAAAATTGGAACAAAAGCTTCGGTAAAACCCTACCATACCTAAAAATCGCATCAATTCTCTCTTTGTTTCGGGAGGTGGAAAATTATCAATGGCCAAAACCTTTGCTCGAACAGGTCGGACTTCCCCCCTGCCCACTACCTTTCCCAAATAGGTCACGGTGGCTCTAGCAAACTCACACTTTGCTAGATTCACCGTGAGATTTGCAGCGGTCAGACGGGTGAATAAGTCACGAATGCGAGTTAGATGCTGATCCCATGTGTCACTATAGATGACAATGTCATCTAGATAAACAGCGCACCCTTCCAATCCTGATGTTACCCTGTTCATTAATCGCTGAAACGTAGCTGGAGCATTTCGCAAACCAAAACTCATAACAGAATAAGAAAAAAGGCCAAAAGGTGTAATAAATGAAGATATTTCTTGGGCACGTGGAGTCAGTGGTACCTGCCAATATCCCTTGAGCAAATCAAATTTGCTCACATAGGAGGCAGAACCCACCTGATCCACACAATCTTCAATCCTAGGTAAAGGAAATGAATCTGGTTTTGTTATCGCATTTACCTTCCTATAATCTGTGCAAAATCGTTGCGAGCCATCAGGCTTACCAACAAGCAAACAGGGTGACGCCCAATCTGAGAAGGAAGGTTTCGCTATGTTATTCTGCAGCATATAATTTACTTCAGCTTCCAGCTTCTTCTGCTTGTCCAAAGACACACGGTAAAATCGCTGTCTAATTGGTTTTGATCCCTCTATGTCGATGTCATGTTCAATTACATCAGTGCGGGTAGGCGTATCTGAAAATAGATTAGAAAATGCAAGTAACAGTGAAGTCAGTTCAGCACAATGTTTCTCAGGCAGATGTTTCAGCAACTCATCTAAGCGTTTCAAAGACTCTGAATTGTTAAGCCGGGGATGTAAAATAGCATCGTCCGGAATTTTAACATCATTTTCAGATTCGCTCACTAAAGTAGTGTTAGCCAACATCACTGGTGATTTACTAGTCTCAATTCCATCTTTACTATAATAAGGCTTTAATAGATTCACATGACACAACTGAGATGACTTCCTACGCTCAGGAGTAGACAACACATAATTCTGATCAGACACTGATCGCAACACTGTGTAGGGTCCTGAAAATTGTGCACAAAAAGGCGACTCAGGCAGGGGAAGCAAAGCCAAAACCTGATCTCCTGAACTAAACTTACGAACAGCCGACTTCCTATCAAATCAACCCTTCATTTTCTTCTGAGCTTTTTCCAGCTTTTCCTTGGCTAGTTCCCCAGCCAGCAGCAAACGTCTTCGAAAACCTAAAACATATTTGAGCAAACTTTGAGGTGGTTCATTTGGCACAACACTATCGGTCATTACAGACAAGGTTCCTCGTACAGAGTGTGCAAAAACGAGCTGATTTGGACTAAAACCCAGACTTTCTTGAACAAACTCCCTGGCTGCTAATAGCAACCATGGCAAACCCAGCTCCCAATCTCCTTTCAACTCTGTGCAATAGGCTTTCAATAAAGATTTCAATGTCTGGTGAAAGCGTTCCAGAGCACCTTGGCTCTCAGGATGATACGCACTTGACTTGTTATGACGTATTCCTAATTGCTGTAACACCTCAGAAAACATTTTTGATGTGAAATTTGTCCCTTGGTCACTCTGAACAATCTTTGGAACTCCAAAGATTGAAATAAACTGTGACAATGCTTTCACTACAGATCTAGTTGTAATAGAACTTAAAGGATATGCTGCAGGATATCGAGTGCTCTGACACATCACTGTTAGTAAATATTTACTTCCTGACTTAGAAGGTGGTAATGGCCCTACACAGTCCACTATCAGATGTTGAAAAGGTGGTTCCAAAACAGGTATAGGATACAAAGGAGCGGGTTTCAAAGTCTGATTGGGTTTCCCAGTCTTCTGACATGTTGGGCATATTTTAATGTATCGTCTTATGTCAGATTTTACACGAGGCCAATAGAAATACTGCAGCAAGTGTTGGTAAGTTTTGTTCACCCCCACATGACCAGACATACCTCCATGAGCAGCTGCTAATACGGCATCACGCAAAGAAACCGGAACTACAACCTGTATCACAGCTCCACCCAAATCCTCCTCTTTGTTCGGAGTCCATTTTCGTAGCAGCACGTTGTTGTGAACAAAATAGCATGAACTAGAACTTTCTGCTGCATCCTGGGACAAAGCCACATCAAACAAGGGTTTCAGAGAAACATCTTCACACTGAGCCACTTCCCAGTCATGACAAGTAATTGAGGGTACTGCAATAAAGCCTGGAACAGATTTATTAGAAGTCACAGGAATTTCCCTCTCCAACAATTCTTGTTCCTCAATCCCTTGTTTTCGCATAGCACGTGTAAATGCACATGACACAAATGTCTCTGGAAAATCTGTAGAAATATCAGTCTCACCCAAAACAGGAGTGGTTATCACAACTGGAGGTGGTGGAACATCAGGCCATACCCGATCACCTGCCAGATTATTCCCCAAAATAACTGACACTCCCTCTACTGGTAAAGAAGGACGAATTCCCAACACCACTGGCCCACTCACTAATTCAGACTGAAGAAACAACCTATGCAAAGGGACAGACATTGTATTTAAACCAATTCCTTGTATTAACACATTACTCCTGGTTGAAGTTTCCTGTGAAAAAGGTAGAGCAGATTCTAAAATAAATGATTCAGATGCACCCGTATCACGAAGAATTTTTACAGGTGTTTTCTCAGCATTTTCCTTAAGTGACACATATCCATCTGTAATGAAAGGAGAATAACTTTCATTAGCTGCTCTAACCATCATCACTGGCTTCTGCAACACAACAGGATCATCATTAGCATTTTCATCAGTCTGAACTGAAGATACAGTCAAGACAGCTTTTTGCTCAGATTTTACACGTGACAATTTCCCTTTTAGTACAAGACACTCTTTTTTCCAATGACCCTTCATATGGCAATACGCACAGCGGTCATTGTTATCACCATAAGGCTTTAAAGCCTTGTCTGCCTTTTCAGTTTTACTCATTTCAAAAGCAGGAGATCGTAAAGCTGCACTTTCGCCAAAAACATCAGATCTTAATTTATTTTTAACGCCACTCCCCATTCTCTCAACTTTATGCGTGAGTACATACTCATCAGAGATAACAGCAGCATCTTCTGCAGACTTCACTTTGCGTTCTGTCAAAAAAAGAACAACATGTTCAGGAAGCGTAGCTTTAAATTGTTCCAACAGGACTAGTTTATACAAATTTTCATACGTTTTAACTTCCGACGCAGAGCACCAACGATCTAACTGAAGTTTTAGTTCAGACACAAATTCAGAATATGTTTGTGCATTAGATTTTCGAATATTTCTAAATCTCTGCCTGTAAGCCTCAGGAACCAACTCGTAAGCTTTTAGCACAGCTTCTTTGATCTTACTATAACTCCCACTATCTACCGCTGATAAAGCAGCATATGCTTTCTGTGCTTTTCCCACAAGTACGCACTGAAGCATCATAGTCTGTTCCTGCTCTGACCAGGCCATCGATGTGCTTAATCTTTCAAACAATCTGAAAAATGTGTCAACGTCTGTTTCACTAAATTTTGGTAACAACTTAATATTATTTGTCACATCCAAACCTTTTTTAGCAGACACAATTGCACTGTTCGCACTTTCACCTAACTTTCCCTCACCAATTAGTCGAAAGCGCAGTGCTTCAACCTCTAATCTGCGCATTTCGAGTTCACCGTTATTTTTTGCTTTCTCTAACTCCAAAAGCATTAATTCTTTTTGTTGTTCAAATGACAATGATGTTTCATATTTTGAACTCGGTGTAAATATTTCACGTTCTTCTCCAACAAAAGACTTTTCAGCTTCAAATAACCCTAAACGAACTAAACCTGCCTTTACAACACCAGCAATAGATTCCTTCAATTTCTTATCTTTTGTTGTCAAATGTACGTCATATTTATTCGCCAACTCTATCAACTGCTCTTTTGTTAGTTTGTCAAATGATTCTTCATTTGGTGACTCAAAAAATATGTCTAATTCGGAGGACATTTTTCCCTTTATTTTTTCCTTTTCAAACGAATTTCTATAAATTTCAAACACAACCTGATTATCCCCCTATGCTTTTGTTATTTTTCCCTATTCTAACTCACCCTAATCTTCATGCTTTCACCAAGAGTCAAGTATCTTTAAGCACTCAAATACCGGCAGATGTCTAAATCTACGGACAAACCACTAGACCGACAAAAGCGGCAGTGCTCTTAACTCGGCGTTAGCACAAAAATAACAAACTAAAACAACAAAAACCAACGCAAAGCGTTGCTATGCCTAACATGGGGATATCAGCCCTGTGTTAGAAACATCAAACGGTTGTGATCCAATACACTATCACCTCAAACTACACTCCCAAATATCATCGGGCTAAATAGAAACACATTCGTGATAGCATAGATATCAAAATCAACTTACCCACTTCCGATGCCATTTTCAAATTTCTCAAAGCAATGCAAGAGAAAGCAAGGGACTGCAAAACAAAACAAAACAAACGCCACCGCACACTAACAAAACTCCTGGAGCTTCCACATGGAAATCTAACAGGTGTTTTTAATCAAGGTTCCCAAGTTACTTGAGGACGAGCCCCCATTTGTTACGTGCCGGCTCAAGCACGCAACAAAATGAAGGGAACCCAAGCCAAGTTGAATATAATAATGCAAAAAGATATTTATTTAAAGGTTACAAAAAGACAAAAATAAAATAATTTGCAAAAAGGGGTATCAAAGTAAACAAATTAATTGTCTAACATAACAATATTCAATACAACAAATTATATAGGAGCAAAGTTCAAATAAACAAAATTAATATAAGCGGTGGGTAAGGCAAAGGAAGTCAAACGAAAAAATGGTCCTCCAAAGCAGTCTCTCCAACACAGTTTGGAAGCTCCTTTTATAAAGCCTGAAGATTAGCCGCACCTGCTGCATCATAACGAGTCACCTGTTAAGAAACAGAAAGCAAAACCCAGGAAACAGAACGAACCAATCACAAACCCATAACAATATCATCAGGCATAAATCATCCAAAGATGTTAAATGGGCTACCTGGATGAAGTCCTCCACGTATTCCTCTATAAACCGGGCTTCCTGACGCAGACACATGATCTTGATACCCGCTGAATCCATTGTGTGGCCGAGTCTTCTGTAACGCCGGGGAGTGACACCAACAACAGAAGGTAGGATCCAATATGCAGGTTTAATCTTTGTCAGGCAAGCAGTGGTCAATACGGGAGCAAACAGATATATGTAGACAATCCAGAATCGTAGTCAGTAAACAGGCAATAGGTCGTAAGGCAGGCGGCTAAACAGGATGACAAGGATAAACAGGGCTAAGAACAAAACACGGGAAAACAAGACCAGGATAACGCGTTGTAATGTCACCTTACAGATAAACAAGACTCGGCCATGTGAATGAGTGTGTGTGCAGCTTAAATACTGTGTGTAATCAGTCTCTGAAAGTCCTCAGGTGTGAATGTAAATCAAGCTAAATGAGAAAGCAGGTGTGTGGGCGAAGAGCATGTATGAAGTTGTAGTCCAGGAAAAGTGTAGTTCTAAGTGTGTGTGTGTGTGTGTGTGTGTGTTTACCAGCGACATCTGGTGGTTGTTTGCTGGTAAACATGACACACCATCTCTCCCATCTCCCACCCCTCCCTATTTTCTGAGGCCTTCAATAAGTATGTAACGGTCAATCAAGACACTGATAAATAAATAATAAGCCAACTGAAAAAATTATAAATAAAATAAATAAAAATAAATAAATTAATATATGGGTTAATACAGAGGATGAAAATGTAAAATAAAAACTAAAAGTCTCTCTTTCTCCCTTTCAAAATTCTAGTCAGCAGTTCCTGAAATGTTAAGGTTCTCAATGACTGACAGTATGGGACTCCATGTTTTGTTGAAGGAGTTCAGTGATCCTTTAAAACAATGTCTCAGTTTCTCAAGATAGATGCAATTAAGAACCTCTTTTATCCAGTGTTCTGATAATGGAGGGGACACATATTTTCATTTGAGGAGAATTGCGCGCCTGGCGAGCAATGTGGTAAAGGCAATGGCGCGGCGTGATGTTTGTGTAGTTGGGGTTGGAAGATAACCAAAAAGAGCAGTCAGAGGTTAAAAGGGTTTTTGAATCAATTGCTTAATTGATTCAATTTAGAGAATTATAAATAGCAGACTCACTACTGGTGTTTTTCCACACAGTTTTAAACATGCAGTAGTTGAACCATTAATCAAAAAGGCAAATTTGGACAGTTCAGTTCTTGCCAATTTTAGACCCATATCAAAACTCCCATTCCTTTCTAAAGTTTTAGAAAAGGTTGTATTTATACAACTGTAATCATACTTAGACCTATGGATTTGAAGAAGTGTTCCAGTCTGGTTTGAGATCTTGCCATAGCACTGAAACAGCACTTGTAAAAGTTTTTAATGACTTGTTGCTAGCCACTGACACGAAAGATAGTGCTGTTCTTTGCTTTTAGATCTTACAGCTGCTTTTAATACAGTTAACCATTAGATATTAGTTTCTCATTTGAGCTCTGTGTTGGTATTAAGGGTATTGCCTTGGAATGTTTTCATTCAGTTTTATCTGACAGAAGCTTCTCTGTTCGCATAGGGGAGTTTGTGTCCATGCCAGCACCTCTGTCATGTGAAGTACCTCAAGGTACCATTCTTGGACCTATTTTGTTTTCCTTATATCTGCTTCCATTAAGGGTCTATTTGTAGAAAGTATGGGATTTTATTTCATCTTTATGCAGATGATGTACAGCTTTGTTTGCCCTTAAAATGGAAAGATGCTGGGTCCATATCACCATTGTTGGACTGTCTTAAGCACATCAAATCTTGGTTGGCGCTAAATATTTTTAATGTGCAATGAAGAAAAGACAGAAGTAGTGATATTTGGATCTGGGGAACTCAGGATTATCTGGTTCTTGGTGTGTTAAACTCTTTTGTGAAACCTAATGTAAAAACTTTTTTTGTGACTTCACACTGGATAAACTGATTAATTCGGTAGTTAAAGCTAGTTTTTTTTCCAGTTGGGACAATTATCCAAATTAAAGTATTTTTTGTCTTTTAACGACTTTGAAATGGTTATAAAAAATTTTATCTCAACTCGGCTAGATTATTGTAATGCTCCATATGTGGATTTAATTTTCCATTACTCTCGTTTGCTGACGGGGACACACAAACGAGAGCACATTACACTCATACTGGCTTCTCTTTATTAGCTTCCTGTAGGATACATTTTAAGATGATAGTTTTTGTGTTCAAATACCTAAATGGAGTAGCATCAAGATACTTGTCCTCATTTATCCAATTGTACACTTCATTTAGGACACTCAGATGTGCTGATCAGGACTTTTGTTTGTTCCACGCACAATGTTGAAAACCAGGGGAGACTGTGCCTTTGCAGTGGTGGCCCCCAAACTCTGGAATTATTTGCCTCTCCATGTTAGGCAAAAAAACCCTTTTTTTTTTTTTTTAAATCTATATTAAAACCCATTTTTACTCTTTGACTTTTAATATCATAAGCAAATAATATAATATAAAATAATATCTTAAGTCTTAAGTGTGAAGTTGTTCAGCTGGAGACAGTTTTGGATTTCAGGAAACAAAATTTGGTCAAAGTATAATTCCACAGACAATCTGTCAAATGTTTGTGACTCATATTAGTTTTCCCTTTATATAAATTGATTTATTGATCAATTGCTGATTTAATCATTTACAGTTATAAATGATATTGTTCCAGATTGTGTATGTCTGATAAACTATTTTATTTGTTGCTAAAATTTGCTTAATGATGTCATGTCATCTTGTGACATGCAACCATGACACAAAACAGGGTCATTCTGTAAAATATGTCATTAAACTAGTCAAACTGAATATGTTAATTTAGATTTGATCGCAAAAGTAGTCAGTGTAATACCTAACCAAAAAGTTTGGACACTCTATTGAAATTCTTGACTTATATATAATCCATGGTAAGTCTTAAAATTTTAAGGATTAAACCCTTACATGACATCTCTGTATCTGTGTCATATGACATCTCACCGTGTCCTTACTTATTAAACAAAAATAAAGCAGGATAGAAAAACCCTATGATTCAGATACTGTAGATCCTCTTTTAGCAGTAATGACTGTAGTAATCATTTATTTATTTATTTATTTATTTTAGTTTTTTAGATCTTTCTTGGAACTTTTTTTTTTTCCACAAAAACATCACAGCATTTTATTCAGGTTGAGGTCTGGACTTTTGTACTATTGTACTGATTGTACTTAAAATGTTTTCACATTAAAGTATTTATTGTTTACTTATTGTTTACTCATATATTTATTACTAAAAATAGGTAGGTTTTAAATGTTTAAATTTTTTTGGTGTGGATTGGACAATCAATTTTGATTACTTTTATGTTTATCCTGTTCTGGTAGTGTAGACTGAAAAGTGGCTACATGTGTAGCAGGTCCAGTACATGTGATGTCATTGAGAAGTTGTTTTTATTAAATGTCATTAAAACAAATAAATAAACATGCTATTTAAATAAATCTAAATATTAAAAACTTGAGGATTAAGAAGAAATTAAATGCATCATCTGTCTTGCGAAAAGGGTCTACTTAAGAATTCTGGTGTTTCCCAACTGAAAGGGATAGTTCACCCAAGAATGAAAATTTACTCACATTTTACTCCCCAAATGGTTTAAAACCATTATGAGTTTATTTGGTTGAACACAAAAGAGGCTATTCTGAAAAAAAACTAAATACCTGTAAACATTGACCTCCATAGTAGAAAAAAATACTATAGAATTCAATGGTTATAGATTTGCAGCTTTCTTCAAAATATCTTCTTTTGTGTTCAACGTGGTCAGTAAATGACGACAGAATACAAATTTTAAACTATCCCTTTAATTTTCTGTCCTACATGCAGACTTTTGCAGAAGTGCTACTCCTTCTAGAGTTTTTCTCAACCATATGTCTAAAAAGCTTTAAACAGCTTTTACAGTACATGTAATGGTTCACAACAACTTGTAATTATTAAATGTGTTGAATGTTTCATGGTTCTTTACTGCAGCCCTTGTTTTAAAAAAAAAAAAGAAATTTTTTCGAGAATCTGAAATTTGAATTCTGGAAATGCTGGCACCGGTGGTGGCGAAGGGCTTCCTGACGATATCACACCTAATTCTTCACTTCTCTTAGTTAGGAATATTCAGATGTATGAGTTAAAATTATTGAGTGTGGCGATTATTATAAGACAAATTTGGATTCAATAAAAAATAAATATTTGAATTTTACTTTGTATAATAGCAGATACCAACTTAATTGTAACCTCGTATTTCATTTATTGCAGGTTTTCTGGAAGCTCCATTTGAGGGCATCAAGGACATACTGATGGCCTAAACCAGTGTCAGCCTAGACAGACAGACATCTATTGCAGTTCTGCTACACAAGACCAAACTCTCTGCTTTTGTATGGATGTCTGACTAGTACGGTGTTCTCTAAAGGTATAACTGGAGCAAAACAACAGCATCCGTTACAGTGAAATTTGTGTTCATAAAAGATAGTGATATATGTGTAACAGGTCCAGTACATTTGTCATAAAGGTTAAATCACAGTAAGTACTGTAAAAATAACTTGTTTGCCTCTGCCACAACAGGTCATGGTGTGTGCTTACTGCTCATAGTAAACACACACGCTGATCTGATGCGGGAGAGATATATGCAAACATATTTGTATTTACTGTTTTGTTTTGCCTCACTAAAGTGTTGTTGGAGCTTGGTATGTTCACAGTTGAAATCACTGAAGTCACATGGAACGTTTTGACAATGTGTTTTGTGCCTTATCTGGACAATGACCATCTTGGGACCATTGCTGTCTGTAGAGGATGAGGAGCATTTAATCTAAAATATTTCAGTTTGTGTTCTGAAGATTAACAGGTCTCTGGGATGACACAAGTAATTAATAACAGAACCTATATGAACACTTAATGTGACATGTAATAGTGAAATAGTGGTCCTACATTCACAAATGTGAGCCATTATTATAAGACCCATGTGAACATGCAATTTTTATGATACTAATAATAATGGAATAACAAATTGCTATTACTGTTGTGTTTGTGAGAGAAAATCAAACCATATATTCTACACATTTTCTTGATGATTTACTGAAATATTTGTCTACATGTTCCACTGTCACAGGTGCTCAGTTTTGCTGCAGTAATGCTAAACACAATAGATGTACTTTATGCAAAAAAAAAAAAAAAAACTACTAAATATTTAGCATGCAGACCTGCAAAGTAAAGGAGTAATGTCAGGTTTAGATTATAGCATGAGTTTTCACTATTGTGAATGTGAAGCCATTCATTCACAATGAATTGGAATAGCAAACCTCATTATTGATTTTGTAGGAAACTCACCTGGTGTTTGAGAAATAAATATGCATTTAACTGCTAGACTGATATAGATGTTTTAGTGTTTTACACTTGATTCTTTGTCCCCAGTGCCATCTTTTACCTCAAGTGTTTCTCTCAACCTATAAAACCTCAAACAGATGTAATGTATTTCACTTGTGATTCTTAGTTGTGAGTGATGTTTTTTATTTTATTTTTTTTACTGCAGCCACTTTAAAAATGGGTATTTTGTAAACTTTGTAAACGGAATTGTATTTTGGAGACTGTGATGGTTGAAGCGTAGTTTAGTTACTTAGTTTAATTTAGTTAGCATCTGTCTTTCTGAAGACGGTAACACTTTACAAAAAGGTTGTATTAGTAAGTGTTAATGTATTTACTAACATGAACAAAGAACAATGAAGTATCTTTCATATAAAGAAAGTACAGTTCATGTCAGCTCAGTGCATTAATGTTAACAAGCATACATTTTGATTTTAATAGCATCGGGACATATTTCAATTAATTAAATGATTAATAAATGCTGTACAAGTATTTGTTCTTTGTTCATGTTAGTAAACATTAACTAACTTTAATTCATGAAACCTAATTAAAAAGTGACTCTTTAATTGTATGCCTTTTTCTGTATTTGAGTGTACAGCATGTATAGTAACCTGCATGGTTTTGATGAACTGTATGCTGTAAATGTTGCTGTATATTTAGAATAAATGAAATAATGAGGTGTGTATTAAATAAATTGATACACAGGCTAAGTTGTGTATTTTTGTCGTGTATTTTTATTAGTAAAAAATTGTTTGCTATATTTATGGACTTTGCGTTGTATGTAATTTCTATTTAACTTGCGTTGAAATGTATGACGGTGAAACAACGTCACGGTATCAACGTTGATCCAATTTGCAAAATCGAAAGGTAATTCAACCTTCATTCAACGTCTACAAAACGACCACAATTCACCCATGAAGAAGGTAAGAGTGAAACAATGTTGTGATTTCAACGGTGAATCACCGGTGGTGGTCCGACGGTGAAACAACGTCACTATATAAACGTTGATCCAATTTGCAAAATCGAAAGGTAATTCAACGTTAATCCAACCATAGACCTGACGTTGATTCAACGTTGAATCACCGTTGAAATGCCGGCTGGGTCTGTATCTCTCTATGTGATATGTGATATTACTACAGGGTATACTGTAGCCTATATATATAGTGGTAATTGCATGATGATTATTACATAGTGATTATTACATGGATGTCTGCAATATTAAATTCTGCTTGGTCTGTCATGACATTCAAGAGTGTGTTATTCCTATTTACAACCACTGAATAACACGGGCTCATCAAGGAACTTTGGATCACCTTGACTGTCAGTGAATAGGGCTATATGTTCACATCCATATACTTACATTCACATCAGTAAGGCTCAACTGTATTTTGACTATTTGATGCCATCTTATGAATGAATAATACGTAGTTAGTCTATTCTCCATTTACACAGCATCGTTTTATAGTTTGGCGCCATCTTATGATTGAATAATAAACATTCATTGATTTTCTTTTCGGCTGTTATTAATCAGGGGTCACAACTGCGGAATGAACCGTCAACTAATACAGCATATGTATTACGCAGCAGATGCCCTTCCAGCCGCAATTAACCTGAAATTGGCATGAATAATGAACAGTTTAGAGTATACTCCATCGGATGTTTTTGTTTCTGTCAGCTTTGCATTTTATTCATCATCATCACCATCCTTAGCGCGAGAATCCAATACTGGATCCTGGCTGCCACGAGTATTTTTGGCCCGCGGGCCGTAGTTTGGACACGCCTGCCTTATACCTAAAACATTGGCGTCACTGCTAATGCAGTTTCGCCATCTTGGTTTAGGCCTTCCTTCTTTTCTTTTGCCTACCGGGTCAGTGCTAAGACTTTTTTTGTAATAGCATTTTCATCCATAGGTATGACCCACCTATGTCCTGCCCACCTTAGCCTCGCAAGTCTGATATATTTAACTATAACAATTTCCTTATACAAGACTGCAAGCTCATTGTTGTGAAGTATCCTCCGTTGATTATAGTCTTTTATTGGGCCATATATTCTCCTTAGAATTTTTCTTTCAAAAACTAAGAGCTTTTGTTCTATGGCTTTTGTCATTCTCCACGTTTCTGATCCATAGGCCAGGACTGGGCGAATCAGGACTTTATAGAGGGTTATCTTTGTCTGTCTAGGCAGTGAACGGTTCTTCATGTACTTCATGAGTCCTTAATAGCATTTTATTAAAACTAATAAAAAGAATAATAAATCAGGCTTTCTGCGATAACAACCACCTGGTTGCTTGTTTGTAACTCATTTATTCAATTATAGGCTGATTTTATAGGCTAAAGGCCCATAAAAACACAATACTACCAATAATTGGTGACATTAAGGTAATCACTACCTCAGTCAAAAAAAAATCTTTACTTGAACATCTTTTCCATTCTTTTCCATCTTCACATTTTTTTACATTAGTTTAAAATTACACTTCTAAGGTGATGTTTGAAATGAGCTCCTGCAATGATTAAATATTGCCATCTCCTCAGTGTTTTGAATGTAGGCTATAAATCCGAATGAGACGCGTATGTGTATTCGTGCAAAAAGAAACGTGCTCTGACTAGGGTTACCACCCGTCCCTTAAAGTATGGAATCTTCCCGTGTTTTAGAATAAAATTGCACGTCCCATTTTAAATCAATACGGGATGGGTTTTGTCCCGTATTAATCCAGTTTTAAAGTAGCTTTTCATGCAAATCATCCCACACACATTTTATGAAGATGCCTTATTTTCTACTTTTGAATGGGTAATGCTTGATGTCATCGTTAGTTTGATTTGTCTTTGTCCAGTGGGAAGAGCGGGTCTTTAGTAATGTCAGATGCCTCTCCAGGTAACCCCTTGTGTCTGAAAGTTTCAAGCCTCCTTTCCACTGCACATGACAATCGACAAGCGATAGACCGGAAGTCATTCATTTCCAATGAAGAGTAGTCCGGTAGCTGCATGGAGTTACGATCATCTCCGTATAATCTTCCGATCAGATCCGAATTGAGCTGCGGATCCGTTTAAATATTTGAACTCTGGTTGCATACGGTCTAGTTGCAGGAGTTCAAATATTTCAACAGATCCGCAGCTCAATTTGGATCCGATTTTTCCGCATATGGAGATGATCGGAACTCATCTCTGATCTCATGAAAAAACTTTTACGCTAAAACGTAACGTAACGTACATTTTACTTAGTATTTTACGCTTTGCCAGTTTAGTGGCAATGAATTTGTACGAGTTTGTACGAGTTCAGTTGTACAAAATTGTACGATTTTAAAAAGGAGGCGTGGCACCTACCCCACCCCTAAACCCAACCGTCATTGGGGGATGAGCAAATCATACTAAATTGTACGAATTGGATTGTACAAATTCATACGAATTAGCCACTAAATGAAAATGTTACGAATTACCGTGAGATTGTGTTGGAACTCCATGCAGCTCTCGGACTACTCTCCATTGGAAATGAATAATTTCCGGTCTGTTGCTTGTCGTTTGTCGTGTGCAGTGAGAAGGAGGCTACGGCTCATTGTGCGACAACATGTCTCTGGAAAGCAGCATTCCCTGACATCGATGCTTTTAATCCTAAACGTAAAACTGTTTGAAACAAATAAATTGTTTAAAAAATATATACATAATTCATTCATGTAGGCCTACTGGTAAATGTTATCGTTTGTTCAGGTAGGCTATGTTTCTATGCACATCTGCTTATATATTTTTATACGAATTTATATTTATTTAATGTTTAATTTTTAAGAATATTTTGCTTATAAATATTTCTTGAACCATACATTTTACTATATTACTATAACTTAAATATAGTGCACCTGAATTGAAAATGTACTCAACATATTTAGCTACTTTAAGCCTTTATAAATTTCTTGGTGGTTGTTGTTGTTGAATGCAGATGAATATATTTTGAAGAATGTTAGAAACTGACATTAAAAATAATAATAAAAAAAATACTATGGAAGTCAGTGAAAATGAAAATGTCTTATTTTGTGTTTAACATTAAAAACAAGATAAGCTTGAAACTTACATTATTTTAAACCAACCAAAGACAGCAGTTGAAGGATGACGTGTTTAAATGACGTGACATTTAAAGGCTTTATTAATTTAATTAGGGTAACTAGGCAGGTTGGGGTAATTAAGCAAGTTATTGTATAACGATGGTTTGTTCTGTAGACTATTGAAAAAAATATATTTAGTTTAAAGTTTATTATGTTTTTTTTTTTAATTATCTACTTTTATTCTAGCCAAAATAATTCAAATAAGACTTTCTCCAGAAGAAAAAATATTATCAGACAAACTGTGAAAATTTCCTTGCTCTGTTTAACATCATTTGAAATATTTAAAAAAAAAATTTTTTTTTCTTTCAATATTCTGTTCTCGAAAGCATTTGATCCGAAGACATCTGTAAAAGATCTGATAAAAGTATTTAAAAGGTCAGAAAGGAGACATCTCGTATATGAATTGCAGATGTGAAAAATACATCTTTCATTAAATAAAAAATCAAATAGAGGTCTTTCTTTGCAAGGTTTGAGTGCGGGTTTCCATCTGAGGTTAATATGAGAACTGAAACAGACACGTGGTTTTAGGCTAAACCTCCACTCTAGACAAAGGTAAGAGACACTGTTTGTCACAGGACTCAGCATATAGTGGAACCAGTGCAAGTTTTTGATTTAATAGTTGAATTTAATGACATTAAATATGTAGCCTGTTCAGTAAATCTTTTTTATATTTTTTTATTAAATCTATATACAACCATTTGACAGTC